GAAAGTGTATGACAGGTGAACGTCCAAAGTGGGCCCGGGGGATGGACTGGGCAACGACTAGAAAATTCAGGAGAAATGGAACACGTGGCAAAATGACGTGGCAGGAATGGGCCCCGTCAGCTGCACGGAAATCTGGGAGCACACGGGTAGCCGAATGGAATCGCACTATGGAATAGAATCTGCCTTCTCACTCAACATCCGCTTATAAAGAATCGACCTATTTTACCGAAATACCCTCCGATACTCTTCTAATTACTATTCCATGCCCTCGCTTTTACATGCATGGTGCGTGCCTTTCGTGATATGAAATTAACGGGAAAGAAGAAAACTAAAATTTAATTTTTCAAAATAAAATAAAAAAGAAAAAAATCGGCCAGCCCAGCCCACCTATATGCTATATCCTCCATTACTCCTAGATTTATTCCTCGCTTGCCTCCACAATTTCCTCCTATTTTCCCTCTGGATTCCCTCTCCCTCTCTCTCTCTTCCCAATTCTTTGTCGGTGCGGTGCAGATCTTGGAGATTCCCAGTTCTAGGTCGATTCCGAGTAATTCTGCCGCGCTAATTTCAAGGGAAATTGAGATTGGGGGTTGGGTTTTGGTTGATTGTTTTGGATTTACGAGCTGGTTTAATTTGAAAGAAAAATTTGTTTCTCTAGATCTGTATTTCACCATTTTATGTCAACTGTTGCCGGAGGTGAAGATTTTTCGGTGTCATTGGTATTTTCTTTGTGTGTGTGTAAAAATAGGAGGTGAACGATTTGCTTTCGCTTTTTGGGATTATGTTTGATGGTGGATTGGGGAAGGGTGATAAAGAAAAAGTGGCTCGTGTACTTGTGATCCGGTAGGTAGACGGGCAACAGCACAAATGCGGCTGAGATTTTGAGAGAATCGGTTTCTTCTTGGTCTTGGTCTTGGTCTGCAGTGAGTGTTCAAATTTTTTAAGCGGGGCTCGCCCGAGAGTTTGGAGTTCCATTTTGCCCAGAATGCAGCAAGATCAAGGCAAAAAGGTGATTCTCTCTCTGAACTAGCTGCTTAATGAAACCCTTTCGTCTATTGCAGCAAGAAGTGATTTGGTTTTGGTTATTTGCAAGATTAGTTAGCTATTGACATGTTCTGGCAGAAGGAAAAACTTTAGTTGGTCATATAGTCATCTTTATCGTTTTTGCTGGATCACGTATAGATGAAGTCATGATATTTGTTCGAATTCAGATATGCACAATAGAAATGTCAACTGGGTAAATGTGATTTGTTTAGCTGTTTTAGTTGGAAAAAAAATAGAATTTTTCCTTCTGAAGATTTCTACTTTACTCTATCAAAAAAGATGAGTTCCGCTATCTATAATTTCATTGCTGGATCACAATCATAATGAGTAAATGCGTTTACTGATATGTACTGCATTCTGGATTCTGGCTAGCGTTTTCTGTTTCTTGTGAAAGTAACTATCCCATGTATTGTTGTTATATAACACATGGACTTTCCCTTCTTTTTCTGTAACTTTTTCATTATGGCTAGACATTAGTGTATATGTAATACGCATTTTCCAAACAGTTGGTATTCTTCTCTAATCAGTTTATGCCACAGAATTCAACCGAAGTGGAGTTCTTCTCTGATTATGGCGATGCCAGTAGATACAAAATTCAGGAAGTTATTGGGAAAGGAAGCTATGGTGTTGTTTGTTCTGCAATTGACACTCGTACTGGCGACAAAGTTGCAATAAAGAAGATACATAATATTTTTGAGCATATATCTGATGCTGTTCGAATTCTACGTGAGATAAAGCTACTTAGACTTCTTCGCCATCCTGATATTGTTGAAATTAAACACATTATGCTGCCACCTTCAAGGAGGGACTTCAAAGACATCTATGTTGTTTTTGAGCTGATGGAATCTGATCTTCACCAAGTTATTAAAGCAAATGATGATCTGACACGAGAACACTATCAGTTTTTTCTTTACCAGCTTCTTCGTGCATTAAAATATATCCATACAGGTGCGAGTCATTACTTTGTTTTGTTACTTTACCATGTGTGTTGACTTTCAAGATCTTTGTACAACTAGAAGAAGATTGGCTACCTGCATTGAAGATAACGTTTTAATTTTGTTTTGATTTAACAGTCTTAAGCTAATTACTTCATCCTGTTTATATGTTTTTTTATTTCTTTTCATTTCAAGAATGACGTTTTTGTCTTTGGCACTTGGGAAGTGGGACTGTTTTTAGATTTCATAAGATCTATGGTGGACACATCTGACCCAGAGCTTCATTTTGCAGCTAATGTCTACCATCGAGATCTAAAACCAAAGAATATATTAGCAAACGCAAATTGTAAACTTAAAATTTGTGATTTTGGATTGGCAAGAGTTGCATTCAGTGACACGCCAACAACCATTTTCTGGACGGTATATCATTTTCTCGAACATTTACAACACTTTAAAAAATACTTTTGTTGGTGAAATATGCATTTGTATAAAATAAATGGTGTATCCATATTCTTGGTTTGGATAATAAAGACTTAAGCATTTTGTATTTCATGAAAATGTAGGATTATGTTGCTACTAGATGGTATCGAGCTCCTGAGCTATGTGGTTCATTTTTCTCCAAGGTATGCTTCATGTACAGTTTCAGTAATTGATGAGACGAGACTGTCACTTGCCTAGTGAATATTTTGTATATGATGATGTTGCTCGACTAACTTTAGTGTAGATGGTCATTGCCATGGAAGAATTTATATGAAAGTCTGGCACATGCTCTGTTGTTATAATCGTAGAGTTTCCTTTGGAAACTAAAAACTAGCATATTATAAGCTTCTTTTATGAAACATGTCTACCAAAAAATAGCCGTGGCTTGAAACTCTGCATTGTCATCTGCATGCGTGATTTATTTCTCAAAAGATAGCCGTGGGATTAGTAATATTTGGTTCTTTCCCTTTTTTTGGGCATGGGTGCTGTATATACTAGATATTGCAAATGATTTGATAAAAGTAGTGACACTGCTATTCAATGCTTGTCTTGATTTATGTCAAATTTTATGACTGTGTGACATGGTTTCTGTCTTCAGTAATCTTTTTGTTTCTTTTTCCTGAGGATTAGTATCAGTTTCATCATTATGTTAATTTGATGCTAAGTCTTCTCTAGAACTCATTATTTGTTATTTATCTTGATACAGTATACACCTGCAATTGATATATGGAGTATTGGCTGCATATTTGCTGAAGTATTAATGGGGAAGCCACTTTTTCCTGGTAAAAATGTTGTTCATCAGCTTGATTTGATGACGGATCTTCTTGGAACTCCTTCATTAGATACAATCTCCAGGGTAGGCAAATTCTTCGATTCCAAACACTATTCTGTAAAAGGTTCCTCGCTTTTAATCTAAAACTTCTATATCCATTCATTAAATTAGCCGTGCAATAATGTTTTGTAGTTAACAAGGTTCTTCTGTTGAATGTAGGTACGAAATGACAAGGCTAGAAGATATTTAACTACTATGAGGAAAAAGCAGCCAGTGCCATTGGCTCAAAAATTTCCAAATGCGGATCCTTTAGCACTGAGGCTACTAGAAAGGTTGCTTGCTTTTGATCCAAAAGACAGGCCAACTGCTCAAGAGGTCTTGCATTTTCCTATACAATCTTTATCATACTTCATCGGCTTTCACCATTGTTTGTTTCTATAGTACATGCTCTCATAATGCCAATGCACGACGTTTAATCTTTCTGGGCCTTTTTGCATACGTTTAATTGAAAATTGCTTTAATATGGGTTATATTAGGGAAAGTTGAAAACTTAGCCTGGTTTTTCTGTCAGGCACTGGCTGATCCATACTTCAAGGGATTGGCAAAACTTGAGAGGGAACCTTCCTGCCAGCCGATCACAAAGATAGAATTTGAATTTGAGAGGCGGAGGGTCACTAAAGAAGACATTCAAGAGCTAATCTTCCGTGAGATACTAGAATACCATCCTCAGCTACTAAAAGACTACATGAATGGAACTGAGAGAACAAATTTTCTATATCCAAGGTTGAATTTCTTCTTCTTCTTATTATTATTTTGGGTTGGGGGGTCTTTCCCTCTAGATTATTTCTTATTTTTCATGTCGCCAATGTTTTATTGCACATACATTTTCAGTGCTGTCGACCAATTTAGAAAGCAGTTTGCACATCTTGAGGAAAATGGTGGTAAAAGTGCGCCTGTAATTCCTCTGGACAGAAAGCATGTATCCCTCCCAAGGTAAATATGTTTCCTTCTCCTCAAGAGAATCGTGTGTGCACCTCCTTATTAGTGAGAAAACAAGACATTGCGTCGTCATGCTATAATACCTCTGATGTTAAAAATAATATGAACTGATTAGCTAGTATCACAAATTCAGAATCTGCATATAAAACAAAAACACTGAATGAACCATCATGCCGTGGTGAGCGATGGAGCTCAACAACTACCATCCTAAACACGTGTCATTGTGGTTCATTTGACTATCCTTCTTCAGTAACATGGATGCTCATATTCCGATCATTTCATATCGATTTGGTGATTTATTATTGGAATCTGATTGTTGCCGGATGAAAAATATGCTTGTCTGATATAACCAGGTCAACAGTTGTACACTCGAACATAGATGGGCAAATCTCCGAAGAGGCATACAACAAAAGTTCCCGAGATAGTGAAGGACGGCTAACACATGTATCAAGGACCATGCAGACACCACACAAAATTCCTTTTGGTACATAGTTGTGCAAGTTTTCTTGTTTTATCTCTGTTGACATGAAATATCAGATTTACTGATTCCTTGATTGTTCCACTCGAGCAGCTAAGCCTGGAAGAGTAGTTGGACCAGTTATAGCAGATGAGAATGGAAGGCTAGTGAAGGAACCATACGATCCAAGAACGTTGATCAGAGGTCCCGTTCTTCCTCCCACATATCATTACCAAAAACCCATGGCAGGAAATCAAGAAAGATCTGCAGCAGAAACAAAACTGGACATTTCATTAAGGGCCGCGAAACAAGCAGCCTCCCAGTGTGGCATGGCTTCCAAATTAGGACCAGACATGGCCATAAGCATCGACTCGAACCCCTTCTACATGACACGTGCCGGAGTGAACAAGGTTGAGCTGAAGGACCAAATTTCCATCGACACAAACTTTCTGCAGTCCAAGGCCGCCCAATACGGTGGTCTTGGTGCAGCGACCGCCACCACCACATCTGTTGCTCACAGAAAGGTGGTTGCCGGTCAGTTTAGCATGACAAAGATGTACTAATAAAAGTGTAAGTTGGTCAGTCACGGATGCTCCAGCGAGTGATCCTTCATTATTCAGATCAGAAGAAGCCATTGATGATACAGGAACAGGAAGGACTCAGAGGAGGGTGGCAGTCGGCCTCGGCCTCAGGCTGCTTTGTGTGTAATATATGGAGGAGAGGTCAGTGGCCTCTTAAAGAAACTAGATTTCTCAGGTTATATTAAATGCACAGTTAGCTTGTAATAAGAAACTGTATCTTAGAGGGGGAAAAAAACACAGAACATGAAAACTGTGAGTCGTAGTAAGCTTTGTCTGTATCCCTCCCCCTCAAAGCAGGAAGTGAAACTTATCTAAATCCCAATACAGAAACAAAATTATTGATTGTATGATTTTTATGAAATCGTGTTTTATTTCAAACGCCAATAAGAAATTATCTCATTTAATTCATAAGGTACAGATGCCGCTTCTAATTACACTTTTATGTCAACTTGATCACGAATCGATCATATAGTTGAATCTATTTCCTATGTACTAAAAAATGTAACTCCATTTTTATACTACCTTAATTAAACTTTACATAACAACCCCATTTTTATACCTCAAAAAAAAAAAATTTTTAGTACAACATACTGGGGTGGAAGACCGAACTCACAACCTCTATACTACCTCAATTTTCGGTTTGGGTTGGGTTATTCGGATTGTCGGTTTTTTTTAACACCCCTATTACTTAGATAAGTATTTTTTCTTTTGATTAGAGATATATGCCTTGATCCACACAAGTTGGTTGCTCGATAATGATTCACATATTAAATTAAGAAACCGGCTTACCATTTTAATTAGTATTTGTTATCATTTCTGATTCACACGTGTTTCCTCTGTCAATAAAGAAGGGCCAGCCAAGGTTTTTTGCAGGTGTGGGTGGAGGAAGTTTCGGATTTGCTTTCTCGTATTGTTGCTTTTGATTCCTCTATTTCTGCTGTTTAATTTTGCTTCTGTTTGTATCCTCTGTCAAAAAAAAAAAATAGAGATGGGCCAGCCAATGTTATTGGGCCGTGTTCACAGGCCCAGGTACGGTGCCTTTTTATTTGGGGCCCAATGCCCGTAAGCACGTGCCTCGCACAACCTCTGTCGTCTTACCGCGCCTTTCCTTCGACAAGTCTCAGCCGTCCGTTTTGCGAGATTAGATTTGATCGCCCTGTCCGTTTTCCATTTCCGCACTTTTTTTCCAGGAGAATTTGGAAGGCTTCAGATTTTTTCATTTTTGTCGCTGGAAAAAATCCGCAACCCTAAGTCGAATTCTTGAAGACTGCCGAAAGAGAGAAATCAAAAGGTGGGTCCTTCGTTTTTTTTTTTTTTTTGATTTCCCGGAAATTTTCTCGGTTACAATTTTCGTATCAAGTTATCTCTAGCAGTTCTCCCCCTCCCCCAAATCTCTCTCTCAGTTTTCTTGGTTCTTTGTCGTTTTGGGCTGTTCTCTCTTCATCTGATTTGTAATCCCTTTTGGCTGGTGCGTAAGTATGGTCTTATTTGTACCTGAAAGTTTTTAGAACTTCATTTCTTTGAATTGTCTGGATCTAGATAGGGTTTTGGTATGCGTTTATCAGGAATTTTTCGAAGAGTATTGTTTTCAAGTGGCTGCTTACATTCTGATTCGGGCGGTTTGTTTTTCTGAACATAGGACTATTAATGGAAAACGAGAATAACGTAATCAATGGCGGGGCGTTGGGGGACGATCAGACCCCGGAGGATTTTTTTGATGTTGACCAGAACGATGCGAAGGTCGCGGAGCTGAACCAGAAAATTGAGGTTTTGGAGCGTGAAAAGTTTAATTTGGTTGAAGAAAATAAAGAATTCAAAGAGAAGATTAAAAAATCTTCAGCGGAGATAGAAGGGTTGAAGAGTGAAGATGCGGCGTTGAAAGAACGACTGAAAGAAATGGAGAAAGAAATTGAAGGTTCCAAAGAAGGAAATAATAAGGTTTTGGAATCTGTCGCGGCAAGAGCACTGGAGCTTGAGACTGAGGTCGCAAGACTACAGCATGATTTGATATCAGCAATGAATGGAGCCGACGAAGCCAATGCTGAGGTTGCGGAGTTGAGGAGAACTTTGGGAGAAAAGGGAGAGAAGGTTGCAGCTCTGGAGAAAGAGGTGGAAGCCCTGAAGAAAGAAAGGGTGGAGAGTGAGAAGAAAGTCAGAGAGTTGGAGAGGAAAGTTGGGATTTTGGAGGTCAAGGAGATAGAGGAGAAGAGTAAAAAAGTTAGGGTGGAGGAGGAAATGAGAGATAAGGTTGAGGAGAAGGAGAGGGAGATCACCGGTTTCAAGAAGAAGATCAATGATTTGGAATCAGTGGTAACGAAGAACGGGTTGGAGTTAGAAAAGTGGATCAAGGAGAAATTGAATGTGGAAGAGTTGTTGAAACAGTCTGAGGAGAAAACGAAAACAATGGAAATGAATGTGGTTCAGTTGCAGAAGGAAGTAGAGGAAGCACACAAAGTCATTAGCGGATTGAAGGAGAAAGCAATGAATGCTTTGAATGGAACTGCAGAGGAACACAAGGGGGCTTTCAAAGGTGCAGAGAAGGAGTTGAACTTGAACTGGCCCATAATCGCAGGGTCGACTGGAGTTGTTACTGCCGTAGCTGCACTGGCCTTTGTTTTGTATGGAAGGCAAAGATAAGATTTTCATGCTATGAAGTAAGAAAGTTAAGATGGAGACTTGACTCAGAATATAGCCTAAGGGGTAGGGTTCACAAACTGCAAATCTTCTTCAGTTTTGTTAGATATGTTTGCTTATTTGGTGTTTTTTCAAGCCAATAAATACTGGTTGGCGCTAAATTTTTGCTTCAAATGTTTTTCTGAAGCTATGTGTTGTTAGGCAACCAAAATTTAGTTGATATATTTTGGGGAATCACTGCACTTCACCTCAATTCCACTGTTATACATGATTATCCAGACAAATGTTTCAGCTACACTTGATTTTGAGTTTAGTTGCTTGCATTCCTGAGTTGTTTTCAAGCCATTCTTGAATGATTATACCACAGTTTGACAAATTTTATCTGCCCCCATTTTGAGTTTTCATTACCACCACCTTCTCCATCTTCCACTCTCTCAACTGATTTAACCATTTAAGAGCTGGTGTGGTTCCACCATTGATGGAGACAGATCATCACTCATAAATTCATGGGTGAAATTCGCAGCCAACTCTTCCTCAAAAGAATGGCAGTTTTAGGTGCAGTGTACGGCTGCATTTTGCAAGCTGTGTTATGTTTGGATCTGGAAATATATTAATGCATTTGCTGCTATTATTTTTCTGCGAACTCCATTATATGATATGTATTTCAACTTCAAAGTTCTTGACAGCTCATTTCTCTGTTGTTTCACTCTTTCTTCTACTGTCTCAACTACTTCCCTGCTCTCTCTTTTAAGTTGAGACAACAGGATTGTTGCCCCAGTGGCTTTGGTTGGTTGACTGGTCCTTATTTAATATGTATTTCATTTTTGAAAATGGAAGAATCAATGATGATCAATTATGGTCTTTTATAAGTAGTCACTGAAAAAGAGCTTGCAAGGACTTGGACCTCTTGGTTATACTGGTTCAGAGATATCAAGTTCAAATCTTTTGGTTGAGCAAGAATACAGCGACTAGGGAAACGAAGAATGGAATTGAAGGCATGCATAGTCTCAATAAAAAAAATTTTGTTCCAACCAACGAGTGGCGGATTTTGATGGGCTTAATTAATATAAAAAAAATTCTTGATATCTTGGGTGGTATAGAGGAGAAAAGCTCGACTTTCAGTTATAAAAAAAACAGTAATATTACTGAATAACAGTAATTACTGAAAGAAAAGAGAAAGGGACGTAGTCAAAGCTTAGGTTGAATCTGAAAGGAAATCTTTCATTTCATTCAACTTGTGCTGCCATCTTTGCAAGTTATTAATCTGATTTTTTCCATCTACTTCTAATTTCTAGGTTGAGCGTAGTCTATATTATACTTTGGCTCTTGTAATGTTTCTGATCTTTATTTTGCTCTATTTCGTTGTTGTTGTAATTCAGTCTCTGTATTCTAAAAGATAAATGTAATAATGTTGATGGGAGAGTATTCTAGAGATTTGTTATTTGGACTGATGTCTACGACATTGACATGTAGAATGCTTAATGGTAAATTGACTTATTCAGGGGTACTATCTAATATTAGGGATCATTTTCAAATAGAGTTTGAAAATTTGAATTTGTAATAGGTAATTAAAATATCTGTCATACTTGCAATGTAAGTATAACAATATTTAAAACAAGTATATAAATCAAGTATATTTTTGTTTTCATGTATTGGATTAGACTTTCAAATTTTGCTATTTTTGCAAAATTAAGAAGTTATTATTTTGCCAATTCATATATATATATATATATATATATATATATATATATATATATATATATACTTCTGCAAGTGCTGCTATGTTTTTTTCCTTCAATAGAATGGCTATTGGCTAAGTTGAAGACAATGTTACAAGATTCAAGTAAAATGACTAAAGGCATATGTTTTAACAGTCATTAAATAACTACAAATTCAGGACGACAAATAATTTTGGTCCTTATTTAATGTTTGTAGTTATTTTTCACCAAGAGCAAACTAAAATTTTCCAATGCTAAAATTGACAAGAGCTATAATGGAGAAATTATTCAATGCAAGTGTAACTAACACAACGAGCTGCCAATATTAAATAACAGGAGAGAGAGAGAGAGAGAGAGAGAGAGAGAGAGAGAGAGAGAGAGAAAGAAACAATTTATAATCATGTATCCTAATAGCTATATTATGGAGACCATTTCTAATAATTTCTCAGGAGAAGAGAGTGAGAGGAATTCAAAATTTAAAAAGTAGAATGGCATGTGATTTCATCTGTGATCGCTTGAAAATGTTAACATTATTTGAATTGAACACAATAAAAGCAGTAAGCAATATTAATAAATGCACCAATAAAACAGCAACTAACCACATACTCCTCCACCTGTAAGGAGTAACTTCACTTCACTTCCTCCAACCCCTTTATAATCCCTCTGTTCCAAACATTCCACCCACCATTAGCCTTCTTTCCCATTTCCCATTTCCCTTTGCTCCAAACAGAAACCATGAGAAGCAAACAAGCCTCTGCTCTCCTGTTCACTTTGCTTGCTGGGCTGCTCTCTCACAGCCTGGTCATCCCTGTATTCTCCTCCACCATTGCAGACCAGAAAAGCTATTACTCTCCAGACCCACATGCCGGAACTCCCCCAACAGGTCAGTCACTCAGACATTCACAAAAAAACACACTTAGTAGTTCAAGATCAAGATAGTAGATAGTAGTAGACTTACAACAATCCACATTTTGCATTGCAGGTACCCACAACAACCCTATGCCGCCGCCACATGGCTATGGAGGCACGCCACCGCATCAGCCCACGCCTACGCCTTCGACACCGTTGAACCCCCCGTCTGGTGGTGGTGGATACTACAACCCTCCATCTTCTGGTGGTGGTAGCCCACCAACCACCCCTGTTGATCCCGGCACTCCGAGCATTCCAAGCACTCCACCCCCTGCTCCATTCACTGGTACCTGCAAGTAAGTCACTTACAGTAACTGTTTCCATGGAGAAGAAACCATCATCCTTTTTTCCTTTTTTGTTTGTTAAAGGTATGTGTGTTTGTTTGCAGTTATTGGCTGAATCACCCAGGAATGATATGGGGAGTGTTGGGATGGTGGGGAACGTTGGGAAATGCCTTTGGAGCAACTAATGTCCCAGGTTTTGGAACAAACCTCAACTTGCTCCAAGCACTTTCAAACACAAGGACTGATGGGTTTGGGGCCATTCTCCGAGAAGGCACTGCTTCGTACCTCAATTCTCTTGCCAACAACAGCTTCCCCTTCACAACCAAGCAAGTTAGATCAAGTTTTGTGTCAGCACTTAGCTCCAACAAAGCAGCAGCAGATCAGGCCAAGGTCTTTAAGTTAGCCAACGAGGGCAAACTTAAGCCCAGAGCCTGATCTGGCCCCGCGTTGCCTTACCCTTACCACCCTAATAATTTGTGTGCGCGCCTTAGTAGTCAGTAGTGAGACAGTGAGACCAATTGACCAGTGCATTGTCTTGTTTTGTTTTGTTTTCATTTGTTGTTGTTTGTACCCTGCATCTCTCGATGTTCATGTATTTGAACATCGAAATGCTCGGTCTTTGTTTTCCATATTCATTGTCACAAGATTTGTTCCAAGTAGTTCATTTTGATTAATCAGAGTTTATCTAGAAATGGGTTGCAATTAACAGCATGGACGCTTGCTTTCTGCAGTAATCCACCGTTTTTCCTTATCTTTATGCCTTAAAAAGTCAGCAAAATCCACAAACTGAGTACCATATCGTATTTAGGGTGTACTAATGAGGAAAGATCCACTTCATTAAATAAGGTTAACCTATAATGGGACCACAACTTAGGATTCCCTTTTGTTTGAGTTATTGGCTGGAGCTTGACCTTGTGAACAGTATAAATGCTAAATCACAAATATCAGCAGGACAGAAAAAAAAACTCATACTGATGGAAGAAGCCAGCAGTTATTATGGAGCCTCCGGTGCTCTGAGAAGATAGGTCGGCGTATTTAATAACTCCCATTAAATCTACCACCCAAGATCTTTCATCTTGTAAAACAGCTGCAATAGTAATAATAGGAACAGAAACCCAAAACTTTTAACAAAAAAGCTCAATTGTAGCATAAATATACCCTCGTAATCTTCTAACAGCAATGGAGATTCAATTGTATCTTAGATCGAAGAACAAGATGACAAACATAGTATTCAGACAACCACAACAGTACCAAAGAACATTTCAAATTGAGGATTAGATTGCACAGAACGGAGAAGCAGCAAGAACCACAAAATGAGAGTAGTACCATTTATTCATTTTCTCACTTCAACTTTCTTAACTGAACAGTGTACATACAAATACAAAACCAGCATCACTATTTGCTAGCATCACAAAAATGTAGATGATAAAAACTGTTATCTGTACATTTTCTTTTTGTGCGTGCACTTGTGTGTGTGTGTGTGTGTGTTCGGGAGGGTGAGATCCTAAGAACCTGGATTTTATGTAATTGTTTGTATACCTCGAATTCCAGCCTTCTTTTGGATACGAAACTCTTCAAAGCTGATGACTGATAAGCGTTGATTGAATCATCTCAAGTGAGATTCAAACCATGTGAAAATCTGGTCAGCCTCTAAGCTAGTCATTTCGTGGTATGCAAAGGCAAGATTCATCTCCTCTTGAATGTGATGCGTTAAATTATTATCAGGTACACTAATCCCACTCATCCTGAGAGCTTCTTTCCACCGTGTTGCACGCCCATCCTTGAGCATCTTCCCATTTCCATCTACAAAGCCCTTGGCTTGGAAAAGCTCAAACAACTTAGCAGAAACACTCTTGTCAAGTTCTGGGATTCGGTCAGCGAAAAAATTTGGTGACAGAGCAAACTCTAGGCATTCAATCTCTGCAACATCAACTCCTTTACTTCTCAAAAACTTCATATTTTCATTTATCTTTTTTTCCCTAAATTGATCTTTTGGCATGTGTATAAATAAAGTAGGTGGGTATCTCTCTGTTACATCCATTTGTTCATACAGCCCTTCAGCAATCATCAAAGTAATACTATTAAACTTCAACTCAGTGGCCAGTACTGAAAGAAAATACCCACCAGAGGAGGCACCTAAACCCACAAGAGGAATTTTCTCAAGGTTGTTCTTTTCGACCCACCACCGTATTATATCTTTAACTACTGCTAATTCCTTCCCAAATGTCCAACATTTGCGCGAGCTTGATATTGTAAGGACTGCAAAATGTCTGCTGAGAGCATGAAGGACAATTAACCGTTCCTCAGGCAGACCAACACAAGATGGGCATTTGGCAGATTTGTCCCAGAAGTTGACGGCTTTACCATTGCAGCCATGAGCAACAAACAGAACTGCCTTCGGTGAATCAGGGACCTGCGATATTAAATCGGTTCCACTGCGAAACTCTCTATTCGGATTAAATTGCACAAGAGAGTTGAAGCTATCCCACGTTTGCTTTGGAGTTCCCTCAAATAAAAGATTACGCTCATGAGACTCCTTGCGAAATAACATCATCAACACGAAAAGAATAAGAAAAGCAGACACAATGAGAATTGAGATCGTCTGCTGTTTGTTCCACGCCTTCAATTTGTTTCCATGCTTCGGCATAACTGAAGAAAGGAAAACACTGCATTTTATTAAGTACTGTAAAAGTGACCAATCATAAATAATTTTAATGCTACAAGTGAAGCGACAGAACCATCCCTCATATTAGAACCTCTACAATGTAAATCCTATTCAACTAGTCAACTTATTTTTTTTGTTTTTTTGTGAAAGAAACAATAATGATGTATGAAATTACAAAAGCCTCGTAACGACGAGGGATTACATGAAGCACTTCCAAGTTGCTACAGCAACCCCATATGAACTTTTCAGATAGTTACTTATCTCATATAACTGATGGACATCTTCAAATTTAGAACCATTCCATCTTATTGAACAGGAAAATTCAAAGACTCAACCAATAAGCTCATCCGGTCAACATCTTCAGACATTTAATTTCATTTACATACAAGGGCTGGTCCTAGAAACTGTGAGAATAACAACATTCGGTTTTTCATGGAATTATATTCCGGTCAATAAAGTCAGAAGCAACCTGAGATTGCTGAAAGTGACATTAATCAAGAAAAGCAGGTCAAAATACGTAAAGGCGAAATCTTCAGTTCTCTTCTCTGTTTGGAATCACTTTATTATTAGAACAACCGAACACAGAATTTCATAAGTTGGATGGATATTGAACAATGCCTGTAATTAGCAGCGAGAATGTTACCTTCAAAATTGGAAGAGGGCCAAAGGGTTCTGGATTCAATTCAAAACGACTAATTCAGCTGCGAGTAGGCCTTCCAAAAAGCTCTCCTCCCCCAACCGTCAAAATAGAAGGAAGATCAAAATCACAACAAAATCACAGTCGATCTTCTCCTCTCTCCACTTTCGCGAGCACAGTCGATCTAAATTGGACCGCAAATTTCGAGGGTCAGCCATGCTCTACTTGCGAGGAATGGGCTGTGGGTTTGGGCTCCGGCGCTGTTGATTTGGGCTCGTTAATTGGGCTGGGCCTGTATCCTCACATCATGTAAAAGTGTCCAACTAACTTATCGGTTGGCCCACCTAATAGCTGATGAGATTCTCGATCCATGGCTTTTCTCACCAACAATTACTACATATAGGCTAAATAATTAAAAAAAATACACCCTAATTTTGTCATTTGTTTAAAAAATTTTCTTTTCAACACTACTCTGGACCTTTCATAAATGTTTCAGAAATACATTTTGAGCAAACATTCACTAATATTTTGAACGAAAAGTTGATACGTTAAAATTTAAAATGACGTGATAATTAACATAGAAATTTTTGCCTTGATTAAGTATGTAAAGAAATAAATGTAGGAGAGACAAAGCCATCGTTTTTAAAAGAGAGAGTAGTGCAAAATTAGGTAGACAATGGAGAAGCAAACTGATCTCTTGACAATAAAAGAAGAAGACTTTTAGAGCAAAATTAGGACGTTAACTACCACATTAATTATCATGTCGTTCTAGATTTTATTACATCAACTTTTCGTTCAAAATATCAACGGGTGTTTTTAAAACGTTTATAAAAAGCCAAAGGTAGTATATGAGTATTTTATATATCAAGGAAGGAATTTTGATAGTATTTGTTGTAATGTAGCGTATATTTTAAATGTCTTAAATTAGTGCCGCGTGTACATAAAAGGGATCCGGATGTGACGTTGACTCTCTTTTCTTTTCTTGTGCTAATATTTTGGGCATGTTACTCTGCCCCGCACCTTGGCCGACAACGCATTTCGAGGGTTTCTGTGTCCACGTTATTACCACGTCATCACTTGCCACGCAATCCCCCGATCTCATTAATGTCCACGTGGTATCTATTAATTAATTCGGTATTTATGAAAAGTTAGGGTTAGGGGATCCATCCTATTCCTGATGTAATAAAAAGAAAAGTGCCTTAGATTACGCTATTGTCGAACCCGACAATGGCAATCGTGTCGTTTAAAACAAACTTTGATCATGTGAAAGTGAACTAAAAGCTCCACCTTCACCAATCACCAATCACCAATCACCAATAACCAATCTTTTTAACTTAAAAACTTCACATCCTAAATCTTCTCTTCTTCTATTTTCCACCGACACCCATTCAATTCAATGCTACAACACACCACCTTCCGTGATTTTAGGACTCAATTTTTAACCTTTTTTTTTTCTTTTTTTCTCCCTAATTATACTTTAATCAAGTATGACATGTAGTGTACCTCTTTCAAAGTCGGTATAGTTTGTTGGAACTAGAAAATAATTTAGATGAAAAGCATCGTTGTTGTTTCTGTGCTGTAGAAATGACCACTGTCTTGAAAGCAATTTCGGTACGACCACGGTGCTATATCGTATGTTCGCTAGTTGTTTTTCAAAGTTAACGCAACTTTGAACTCAGACGTACACTCGTTGGAACCGAATGGAATCGAAAAACACACTCAGAAATTTTATTAAAAATTTAGGATCTTCCGCATCCAGAATAAAGCTTTATTTAGTTTAAAAAGGAAAAAAAGAAATGTTTTAACTTAATTAATTAAAACGTTACAAAATAGAATTAATTAATTAATTAAAACATTAAATAATTAATTCTTTAATGTTCAAATAATTAATTAAAATAGGAATAAAATGTTTTTCATAATAAAAATACTACTTATTTTTACTTTAAACACATTTTTCCTTTGTCGTCGCCAACATATTAGGTATGGAGTTACTCATCTAAAGAATAGCATAACGAGCGGATCCATTTTTCTAGTGGAAGAGCTCAACTTGCCATAGTGCAACTTAAAAGACCTACCATCACGTTGTAGTACTAGGTGTCTAGTGACGATAAAGATGATCATTTAGGTCTACAAATCAAAGTGTGATGATTGTTTTATAAATAAGAGGGTCACACTCATTTGAATCGCACAAATTTTGTTCATATTCTACTTTGTGCAGGCCTTGGTTTGGTTTAATTATAAATATAAGACGAACCCTTGTGATCTCAAAAATTTATTATTTTATTTATTTATTATTATTATTATTATAATATATAACCCTTTCTCGTCATTGTTGGTGAAGGCAAGTGAAACTTAATGTTACATTCGAAGTTAGAGGCTTCAAATAATTAAATATCAATGAACCTTTTAAATTAAAGGATATGAACAAAGTATGAACATTGACATATATTGTGAAAAATAAAATCACATAAATTAATAATTTTTCTAAAGAATAATGGATAAAAGTTGAAGACTTCTTAGGTAAGTAAATAAACAATCAATATCATTATTGATTGCTACATCCGTCATATCTCTATATTTTCTTGTATTTTCAATATTTCCAATATTGAATCATTGTCTACAAAATTGTAAATATTGATTTTAATGAAAATATTAAAGTCTCTTTTAATTGAAATTTCAATTGAAATATCTCGATGGGGATTGATGGATATATTTTAAAAGATCCTAACAAATATTTAAAACAACATTAACATTTTACTCTTAAAAAAAGTTAAAATTTATATTAATATTAATATTATGTTTTAGGTTAGTGATAGTTTGTTGATATTTTGATATTTTATTATTATTTTTTATCCATATCAATATTTTTTTTTAGTACAACATATGAAAATAGGATCAAACTACAACCTCTTGGTTGAAGACATATGTTAATATTACTGTTGAATCATGTTTGCTTTGGCATGTCAATGTTAATCTATAGACATATAAATATATCATTAAAAATGTCGACATATCAATGAAAATTTAATAGAATAAACCTTTTCAAGTTGGCATTTAGCAGCACACAGATTATAAAGGAAGAAGAGAGAACATTGTATGGTAGCCTTTTTGGCAAAGACAAGAGAGAGTGGGATGTGAATATTCATAATCCTCATAAAAATTCATTTATTGGTAGAAAGATATGCATAGTGGTAGAAGGTGAGGGTGGCAGCCAGCAGAGAGAGGTGTGAATTATTAATTTAATTAATGTCACATCTAAATCTAAATTTTGTACTATTGATCTCAGTTTACAAAAGTATAATATATTTATATCAGAATTGATAGATTATTCTTGTTTTTTCTTTATCCATTACCTTTATCATCTAATTATTTATGGTATGATATTTCTTTCCTCAACTGTTGGATAAGAGAAATTTCTTTTTCATTTTATTTGTTCATCTTGTCACGTCCAAATTTGTCAAACAAGCATCTAAAATTATAAATAAAAAGTTCAACCCTCTCAATAATTCGTAGAATCCCCATATGTAATTTAGACAAATATCGTCAAAATTAAATTATCAGATTGTCATTAATATTAAACACACAAATGATTCACTCGGAATATGTATTCAAATGTTTTCATAAGCTAACCAACAACAACTCGCATATGATGCCAAAATATATTAAAGAAACTTATAAACCCCCAACCGCCCACATTTTAAAGCTGACTTTACCGATTTAAAAAGTTGCACTTAAATAAATAAATAAATAAATAAATATATATATATATCTTAGACCCAAGCAGAGAAAAATAATGAATTTGATGCGTTCATATTATTCTGTTTTTTTCTTAAGACTGCGTGTGACAAGCGACCACGTATGTCATAAAGTCAAGAAAAATGCCTAGATGTGGAGTCCATGTATTAATTGAATTTTAATGCCTTTTGATGAATTTTCCAACAAGAATTTTCAATGTTGGACTGAGTGGATGAGATAGGTAGATTCTATATTGTGTTTCGATAAGATTATCGAAGGTTAAAATCGAGTATAAAAAGTATAATACTTATTTAAGTCTAAGATATAATCAGATGAAATGGCTAAATATAAAATTTGAAATTTTAATTAATCCATCGAATATGGTTTTATTTTGACATTTGCAAAAAAAAAATTCAAAACGAAGTCCTGAAAGTGGGGAATCTTCAGATACAAACAATGTCACTTCGGTTGTCGGAATTTATTATTATCCGGTCATTGGGTTCACATTCTTTGACAAATGTCTAACATTTCTTCAATTAATACAAGTCCATTATATTTGACATTATTGTAACACAACCCTCATACTAAAATTTAGTTAGTTAAAAATGAGATAATACGAAGAAATTTGAGTCCATATTTGATTTGCAAATCTGTGATCTTGTAAGAATTAATATGTAGTATAAAAAAAGTGAACTTAATGAGCACATATCAGTTTAGTAATTTGTGGTGTTGACGTAGAATCCAATCGAGCTACCACAGGTCGATCATGTGCCAATAAGAACGAGTGGTCGATGTGCGACCTTAAGATAAGAAGAATCTGTAAAAGGAACAAACACTCTGACGCTTAAGTTGAAGTGAGCACGAGCTAGTAAGTCGTTCTCGGAACAGAATAGCATGCCTAAAATATGAGGTGGAGTGTACCTTTTATAAGCAGGAGGGGACAAGGTTATTGGAACCGTTTCGATTGGTTGTTATAGCTGTCGGACCCTATGTCAATCGTCAATCCTGAGGTCGGCAGCGATACCACTTTGTGTTAGCTTGGTAGTTGATCAGATCGGTATGGATAATTGGTTTAATTTTCCCTTTTTTATATCCCAAACTGAGTAGATGTGTCCATGTTAATTTTATCTTCAACATGTGTGATTGACAAATTTATATCTTGAGAAGCACGACCTTGATTATTTCTATTAAACAAATCTAATACCATTCACAGTTTCTTTTTCAGAGTGTCCTAATACAAAGTTTAACGGATGTGTTTTAGAAATACATGATATTGATAGCAAATAATTTTGATAAGTAATACGATATGATATACAAATAATTTAATGGCAAGAGTCAAATAATGACAAAAATTAAAATATTTGTTATAATATTATGACTTAGAAATTTAGAAAGTGAAGACCAAAATGAGTATTATTACTTGTTTGCATTGAAATCTGAGTCTGCTGGCATGACTGTCAGAAGATATCGTGGCAACGTGTTTAGGGATGCTCTAACTAGCGAAATCATACTTCAATCGCTCTGTCACATCAAAATTGTATTTATGTCGAATGGTAGCAGATATTCTACCAATGGTCTTTGTCCAAAGAGAATGATCAAGCATAGTTTTTTAATACAACAATTTGAGGATATTGGAGTTTAAACCTCCGACCTTAATAGAATGAATAAATGTTAATTACTGTGGAGCTATGCTCATATTAACTTTACCTACGTATTTCATCGTATTTAAGCGCGTATATATATATATTTTCAAAAAACTAAAGAGTTGTGAAATTTTAAATTATATTCAACACGAACATGAAGGTCGATTGATCCTTAAATATTTTTTTGAAAATTCACCAAAATATAATTCATCTCATTTCACTGTGAGCCGAAAGATTTTTCGATCTCTAGATAAAATCTCAAGTTATTGTGGATTAATTAAGAGCTAGATTTTGGTTAATCAAACCCTATAATTAATGGTGTCACGTCAAGCTTTGTTATTAAGTCAAAATATTTTCCATGCATGATGGCCACGGCTGCTTCCGTTCCCATATATATCTATCATTGTCATTCTTTTGACTTACTAATAAAGTAATTAATTACACATTCAGAAAATTAAAAAATAAAAAATAAAGTAATTACAGTCTGGCGGGAATCACTTTCAACCACTGCCGTTGATTAGAGAATTTAAGTGGATGGCTGTAGAAAAACAAGTTCCAAAAAGTTTGTTCATATTTTTAATCCCCTCTTTGTTTTCTTTTGATTTTTGAACTATCATCTTGAGATTAGTTACCAACCAATTTCCATATTTTTATTTGAGATTATTCTACTTTTCTGGTTGAAAATATATTTTAATTAGTTTAATTATGTTTAGGTTGGTTTATTTGAAATAAAAGTTATTAAAAATAAAAAGCTAAAGTTTCTAAAAATTATTCTAATGATTAGAGTTTTTGTCCCTCAACTTGTATACTCCTCTCAAACGATATAAAATCCAAATTATTTTAAGATTAGATTTTCTATCCATGAAAAAAGTTAATAATTTGTCTAATCAAAATTTATAAGTCTTTCGATTTAAACTTTCATAAGATCATGACATGCAATTAGTCATTTATGTCATTTACTGGTGTCAATTTGGAGGCTCGTGGTGTGGTTGGTGTTAACTGGTGTGGCTTATGTGGTCGGTCTCGTGAGGATCTCCTCCATACGCTCTGGTTTTGTAAAGTGGCTGTTCGAGTCTGGAAGGCGTCCAGGCTCCGGTACCAATTACCGCAGGTGGTAGGGTCGACGATTATGACTTTCTCATAGGATTGTAAGGAGGTTTTGGATTGGGATGATATGAGAGAGCTAGTTGTGATCCTTTGGGCTATTTGGAGTTTGAGGAACGATTGGGTTTTCAATAAGGTGAGAAGGTGTGTTCTGGAGGATATTGGAAGCTGGGCAACGGCTTTTGTGCAAGAATTTTATCGGGCAAACGCTCGTACTCTGGATAACGTTTCTTGTCATGTTTCTACTCTTTCGCCTGTTTGTTGGAGACCTCCTCCGGAGGGTCGGTACACAATTAATACCGATGCTGCTGTGGATTTGAACTCGTTTTCCGCTGGTCTAGGTGTGGTTGTCAGAGATTGTCGGGGTCAGGTGATGCTCCCAGCTGCAACAAGGGTGTTGGATATGGCAAGTGTTGATCTAGCAGAGGCGTCGACGGCTAAATGGGGTCTTGATCTGGCACGGGATATGGGTCTCAGTCCTTGCGTTCTAGAGATAGTCTCCCTTCGGATTGTCCAATCGTTGCAGTCGATTGAGGAGGACCCCTGTCGGAAATGGGGTGTTTGTGACGAAATTAAAGGAAGCAGCTGCGGATCTCGGCCTTGCATCTGTTAGTTTTGTGAAGAGAGGTAAAAACCAAGTGGCTCATTTACTTGCGGGTTTGGGGTTGAAGAATGGGGGTGTGTCGGTTTGGTTAGAGGATGGTTCAGATATTATTTCTCATGTATTGCTCCTTGAGAGTTTTGGTGTTTCTGCTTAATTGATGACTTTAGCTCGTTAAAAAAAATAGTATTACTAATTTAGATATTTTCTTAGTATAATAAATGTGGATGTATCAAAATTTGAACTACCAAATGAAGAAGTTCTCTATTGAATGGGGTAGAAAAGAAAGGTTTGGAAGCGGGCTTAACAATATTTTGTGTGTAATTAATATTTCAATTTTTTTAGAATACAAATATATATAGTAGGAATTCGAACTTCATGACTTCATATCAGATATTGGTGCTTTAACTAATTGAGTTAATTTAATTAATTTCATACCGGTCAATTTAGAACAGTAATACAATACAGTAGTACATTATTCTTTACTATCCTCTCAATTTCCATTTGATACGAATATTCCCAACAAATATTAATTTCTAAATTTAAATTTAAATTACAAGTCTAGTTAACGAGTTCATAAACTATTAAATTCGTGCACTTTAAAATTCAGAAACAAATTAGAAAAATGAGAACTGTATTGAATTTCGTATTGGCAATGTAATGGGCAGAGCAGAGGTAGCCGGAGTCGGAGACGAACAGCGGAGGAATGTGTCGGTGACAAGTGGGCGATACAATGGCAGATCCGTAAATGCGCGAGAAAGCGGGGGCGATATTTTGAACTTCATCTCGTTCCCGCGGCTTCGAACGCGGCATTATTTTTGGATGTTCCCCTTTTCTTTTTCTTTTTTTTTTCTCTCATTCCATTTTTTCCCCCGATACCTTTATGAATTATTACGAAAAATAAACAATATTCTCTTATTATTCAACGGAGTGCGAGATCTGGTAAATAAATAAATAAAAATGAATAAATAAAAAAGTGTAGTTCGCCATAGCTCCTCGGTTCCGCAGAGTGGAGAGCGAGACCCGTGACTCCTCTCAGCCTCAGGCCGCTGCTTCTGCTTCTGCTTCTGCTTTATTACATCAAAATCCATTTTCCCTATTGGATTTTCCTCAATGTCGCTCTCCGATTCCGATGCTGATTCTTAAACTCTTTCTTCTCTGCAATTTGGTCCCGGATCAGAGCGGCTTCTTCTTCCTCTTCGTTTCTTGAATGGAATACAGAGAATTTTGGACGCCGGACCGCTGTGGAAGACCATGAAGTTCTATATTTCGACGACGGGGATTAAGAGGGTAACGATTTCAAATCCCGGCGCCGGCAAGGCGCCGCACGCCGCCTCGACGGCGCCTCGAAGGATCTCCACCCGTTCAATCCTGCCGCTCCTCCTCACGCTCGCGATTGTTTTGCCCTTTTTTTTCGTCAGAGTTGCCTTTTTGGTACTTGAATCGGCCGCTGCTTGTTCTTCCACTCTTGGTAATTATGCTCCTCCTGCCTTTGAACTTTGCAATTTGGAAAATGGTTGCACGGATTTGATTTTACTGAACGTACCTTCCATTTTTCTTACTCCCGAAGAAACCTCTGTTCTACGATTAATATTTGTTGTTGAAAAGAAAACGCTCGATCGCGTTCAAGCTTTGTTTCAATCGAATCGACACTAAAGTCTCCATGATTTTCGTTAAGTTACTTTATCTCGTTCATCAATTCGCTCCTCTGAATTTTGCAGACTGCTCAGGATGGAGGATTTTCAGCGCGGATGACGCGTCTTCGGTTAGTATTCTCACTTTAATTCCGAATATACCCCTCTTCCCAGAATCCACCTTTTGCAACTTCTTACTACATTTTTCTCCCTCGCTTTTTTTTTCTTTTCTGATTATTTCATTCTTACGGTGATTAATCGGAGAATTTCTCAGAAATGTTCTAACATAAAGTGTTCATAATAATTTTACATATCTAATCCGAAAGAGTCCTTTTAATTTTCATTTCAGTAGAAAAATGGGAATGGCCGTCTGTGTTAACATTTTCTAATGTAGGCCCTGATTTTGGAAAAACTCCAAGTCCAAGTCCAAGCCACCAAATTTTAGGGTGTCTTTAAAATCCCATCTAAAAAAAAAAACTACGTTTCTCCAACTACTTTTATACTCATTCCTACAAACTGTAAATTTGCATTTATGGTACCACGAAGTTGGATGTTCTTATACGTATGGAAAGAGGATTTTGACTTTTAATATTAAAAATTGAGGCTAAATTAAAAAAAAACATGTATCATTTCCGAAGTTTCAATATATTTAGAAAATCCCGAGTAAACATACACTAATTTTTTGAACATAAAATTAATGTTATATAATCTAGAATGATTTAACTATAAGCTTAGTTAGATTAGATTTGAAAAAGGATGTGCAAGAATTTATCCTTTTTAAAGGAAGGAAGAAAAAAGCTAAATTGTACCTATTTTGCCCTAATTCACCTTTTAAAAACATTAGCGCCTCCCAAACTTTTATATTAATTACCTTGTTATTTTAAATTCTGTCGAATTTCTTATTTAATATATGAATAAATGTTTATTCAAAGTGTATTTTTGAAATATTGAAAAGTTGTAAAGGATAAGGATATTTTTGAAATAAGTGGTAAAGTTAAAAGGACTTTTTAATAATTTAGTCTAAAATTTATATTGATTTCTTTAGAGTAAAAAAATATATATGTTTGGATAATTATTTTAGTATGCTCAAGGGAACTTGATCTATTTTGTAAAATAGTTTGAAATGATTTTTCATGTCGAACACTTTTCGAGACATGCCCTATTCTAAAGTTTAAACATTTGAATTTTATAATTAATTGTAAAAGTTACAGGCCAATATATTCTGCGTACAGCTGTCTCTGCATTTTAAGGAGGAAGAGGTTAAAATTTCCATCTTCCATATTGGTCGTACCTTAAAAAAAAAAATCATTGTATTTGTATTTTCTAAATTTATACATTTTCTCTCGTAAATAAACTTTTTATTTAACTTTGCCAAATGGAACAACTTTCTTGGATCCTGCCGTCTTAAATAGTAAATACGGAGATTTTCGTTGACGCATTAAAACCAACTCTATATTTCCTTCGTACGGATTTAGTATAGATTTGAAATACTCTTTTCATTATTTAGTCAAAAAAAAAAAAAACTCTCTTCACTATTTACCCCCCAATTTCTTTTATTCTCCAGTTTGATTGAGATGGGCTTTCATGTTAAATTGAGAAAGGCGGATGGCATTTTGGTCATAAGATATATAGAAATTAATTCTTCTTCCACTAGGCAGCTTTTGGAACATGTGGCTACTTGCGTAGCAATCATTTTATTTTGGTCCACTTGAGAATCGGGCAGAGAAAAAATTATTCAATAAACAAAAAGAAAAATACAAAGCCCACAATAATTGTCTTCTGTTCTAATTGACCATCTTAAATCCCTTTTAACTCATACTATGATAGTCAAATAATAAATATTTTACTGAATATGTAGCTGGAAGAATACAGAAATATAAGAGTGTATTTTGGTTTTGTTTGTGGTGTGTTGCATAAATTACAGAGACTGGGCGAGGAGCTGTCAAGGGCACTTGTAGAATCAAAGGAAGGTGGGTCTGTGGAGGGTGAAAATGGAGTGGGATCGTTTGACGAGCTTGTGAAAGAGATGATTTCGAAACGACAGGATATGAGGGCCTTCGCATTAAAGACTAAAGCCATGGTAATGCCCACTTACCTACATCCTCTGCACCCTTTCTTTTCCTTCTGTGGGCTATCTTTCTTATTTTGTCCTCACTGAATCATCTCTGATGCCTTATTCCACTGTTGCCATTCACGGAAGGGAAATTTTATAAGAATGTAATTTGTAATTGCCCATTAGCACTAAATTTGTATCTTGAAGTTTGTTCTCTCAAAACCATTTTGAAGTTTGTTCTTTTTATGCTGAAACTATTTGTGCATGCCATTTTTTTAGTCTATTAATCTTAATTGATATGGGTTCAACTCTAAGAAAACAGAAAATTTCCCACTTGTGCATTGGCTTATGAGTAATTGGTATGTCTATGTATTACTTGATTATCCAAAGTGCATTCATTTTTTAATGGGGCTCTTCTAATTTTTGTGTTTGAATGTTTTCCGTGCAGCTTCACGCTATGGAACAAAAGGTCAAATCCGCCAGAAAGCGGGAATCTGTGTATTGGTATTTAGCTTCACACGGTGTTCCAAAGGGCCTACATTGTCTGTGTCTCAAACTTGCTGAAGAGTATGCCGTAAATGCCAGAGCTCGAGCTCGTTTGCCGCAGCCTGAATATGTTTCTCGCCTTACCGACCCCTCCTTACGCCACCTCGTTCTCTTGACTGACAACGTCCTTGCCGCCTCTGTTGTCATCTCCTCCGCCGTCCGAAATTCGGCCGACCCACAAAAATTGGTGTTCCACATCGTCACTGACAAGAAGACATACACTCCCATGCACGCATGGTTTGCAACCAATTCCATGGATTCGGTTGTGGTGGAAGTCAAGGGGTTGCACCAATTCGACTGGCCTGAAGAACTCAACGACAGAGTTAAAGATATGCTGGAGATTCACCGTTTGATCTGGAAGCGTTACTATAAAGATTTCAAAGGAGAGAATTTCGAATATGATGGAGAAGACAAGAGAGAATTAGATGTTCTAAGCCCCAGCAGTCTCTCCCTGTTGAATCACCTCCGCATTTATGTTCCCGAGGTAATCATTCTGGATATCGCAGTAATTTCCTCATGCTGAACTAAACTTGTAATGATGATGATTCTGTCCTCCCCTTTTATTTAAAGCTATAAATGTGTCTCATTCAGCTGTTTCCAGATCTGAATAAGATTGTATTCCTGGACGATGACGTTGTGGTGCAACATGATATGTCCTCTTTGTGGGACTTGGACCTTGGTGGGAATGTGGTTGGTGCTGTCGTTGATTCTTGGTGTGGAGATGCTTGTTGTCCAGGAAGGAAATACGGCGACTACCTGAATTTCTCTCATCCTTTGATATCATCCAACTTCAATCCTCATAGTTGTGTGTGGCACTATGGCTTGAATGTCTTCGATCTTGAAGCTTGGAGGAGGACCAACATAACATCCACATATCATCAGTGGTTGAAACATGTTAGTTTCCATTCTTTGTTATTCTACTAAAGTTATACATGTGCATACATAAAACACAGAACAATACTTAGGAACTCCTACCAACATTCTAATGTGACGTATTTTTATTTGTTTATTTCTATTGCGCTTAATAGATAAGCACATTCTTATGCTTGGTTTGTTTCAGCTGAACTAAAACTTCTAACATTTTAAATGCGAAATGAAAGAGAATTTTAATTCAGGATTTTAAAAGGATGAGTTTGGAAGTACATATTGTTTTGTCTTTTGTTTATTTTGACAGTTCAAATGCATCTTATGCTTTTGCTGCTTGGTGATGGTATCTTGTTTTATTAGTTCTGCTTCTTTGAAGTCAGAATCATTATGATATCTCTCTTTATCCCTTGTCCTGTTTCCACTTTCTATGACGTATACTGCTATCATTTCACAGAACCTCAATTCTGGATTGGCATTGTGGCTTCCAGGAGAACTTCCTCCATCCTTGATGGCTTTTGGGGGTCATGTGTTTCCCATTGATCCATCATGGCATGTGGCAGGGTTAGGTGAAAGACCCCCACAACTTTTTACCAGGGAGGTCCTGGAAGATGCCACGGTTATACATTTCAGCGGTCCCGCGAAGCCGTGGCTCGAGATTGGGTCTCCAGAGGTACGGAACATATGGAATAAACATGTAAATTACTCAAACAAGTTCATTAAGAAATGCAGAATAATGGAGTGAGGAGAACGAAGTTCTGTCACTCTAAACTATTCATTTTGGGACCATATATCTAGATATCCGATGAAGATATGGTCTGAAATTGGAGGGAAGAAGGTTTTGCCTTCAGTCTCTGCTCAGACTAACCTCTACAAAGTATGATATTGGTTATATATATATATTATGTCCATACACTATTACTAGGTAATAGATGAAGGTAGCCAATGTAATATTACACAATAGAATCAGAGACTCAGAGTTTTACAACCTTGAGGATAAATTGTGATCATGGATGTAACTATCTGGAACTTTGTATATTGATTTTATATCTTAATTAAAATACCTTATTTTAGATGATGAAATATTGGGACCCATGCTTTCCTTGATTATCCATGCTGGTTGTTGTCTTGTCTAGTTCTCGCTGGTTGTCTCTTGTTAAAACAGAGGGGAACCAATGTTACAGGAGGGGCATAGGCATAGGATTCTTCATTAGAAAATGATAGAACTCATGAGCATTTTCTTTTGTCTTTCTTGTTGCTTGGTTGGTGGGCTTTGACCTATGGGGCACTTGTCTTTCTTGTTGCTTGGTTGGTGGGCTATGACCTGGGGCACTTTTGAGCATTTTCTTTTGAAAGTTGTACGTACCCAACTTGATGTTGAGAGTCTTTTTTTGGGTATTGGGAGAGTGAGTGAGTCAGAAATATGTACCGTAGGTGGGTGGTGGTGTAGTGTAGTTGTGATCGAATTTGGATACTCCTCCAATTTGAGCTTCGCAAGGCGTGTAGTCAGGGCTTCTCCCTCCTCCCAATTCGGAGACGAGTCTCGCACCATCAATTATTGGGTGGCCATCGACCCTCCGATCATAGAGATTCAACTCGCGAAGCTACATGACATGATTTCGAGTTTTAAGTACCCACCTTGTGTTAGCGAAGGAGGGAGATGGTGTTGAACACAAGATTAGACTCGACCATGTATTGTCTGTTTTAATGCGTTTGAAAGCGAATCATGGTCTATTTAAGACCCAACTTAAAGAGAACTTAAAGAAATGAGCCTAAGAGCTACTTTTTAAAACCGTAAGAATAGCCAAATGCCTTGATAGTTTCAAACTTTTGGGAGGTATATTTTCTATTTGATTGTCAATGATTTTGTTTCTTTTATTCCAATGATTATATTAGATGTTAATTAGGCTTAACATGTTAGTTGAGTGTATTGAGATTTCGATCATTAGACTAGTAGATGCGACCGCGATCGTTATTGTATTAAATATGTGGGTTTTTTGGTAGGTAAAAAATAGTTTATGGAGGTTCTGTGAGCCCAACTCTAAGGCGAAATTAGTGATGATCAATTAGTTATTTTAATTTGAATGTTTGAGAATATAATTAGAATGTTAGTACACAATACTATTGTTAGCTAGTAATTTGTATTCCTTCTTAAACAACAAAAAGTACTTGATATTGTTTTCTGTTTCTTTCTTATGATCAAGTATCTTAGTTATTTTGTGCTGTATTAACAAAAAAAAAAAAAAAAAAGTTTAACAATTATAGGGTAGGTATGAGCCTTCAACCTTCAACCTCTCAAGGTAGGTATTAACAATTAGCATATTTATAAAATATTAAAATAACTAGTTTTTTTGTAAATTTTAAAATAACTAGTATTATTGATACATTTGAAGTTCTTAATTGGCCCAGATGTAAAATAGACCCTGTGAAACAAAGAATTTATTTTGGCCCTACATGCATCGAGGATAATTGTCAAATATCATAGAACAGATTTTGATACGATAAGATAGAATGCAAAAGGGACAGAATCCATAAGAAGGTACGAAGGGAAAGGGATACGAAAATGGTTTTTTGGGTACATATTCACTTTTGATTTGATGAAACACCGGTTAGGTTTAAAAGCAAACACATTGCCACATTACACAACACACACCTAAAGACCAATTCCAAAGCTAATCATCATCCCAAATAACATTAAGGAATTAATAAAAAGTTGAAAAGTAGTATTATAGCATATATATGCATTTTTCTTTTTTGGGTTTTGGTTTTATATATATAGAGAGGGTGTGTTAAGTGTTCGATGGTTGCTCAAAATACAGCGAAGAAGCAGAAGTAGAGAAGGGAAGGGCTGTATTAATTATTTGATTTGATTTGATTTCCTCCGTAATGCTAATGCTAATGCTAATTCCACATGAAAATAATAATAATAATAATAATAATAATAATAAATTCTGAAATGGTAGCAGCTTAGCGTCTGTGTGATTTGATTTGATTTTCTACACGAGCTGTAGAGCGGTGAGGTGGTCTTGGGCGTGGCCGTAATGGTTGTTATCGGAATCCATAAGCCCCACCGCAGCCGCCGCCACCGCCGCCGCCGCCCCATAACCTCTATTCTCATTCTCATCGTATTGCGTCGCCGCCGACTCGTATTGCATCTGCTGCTGCCGTATTCTCTCGTGTTCGCCAATCTGCCGCCCATATTCACATCAAATAATTAATTAATTTATGTAATTGTTTGTTTGTGATCAAAAAATTTAAATTTTTCAAGAAGAAAAAAGGGACCTGAGCTCGCAGATAATTGTTGTGATTCTGAAGCTCCATTTCCTGACGCATAAATAATAAATAATACCCAAAAATTAAGAAATTAGAAAGAAATTAGAAGGGTGAAGGGTATTTGTGGAAGTAATTACTCTCTTCTGCATGAACTCCATCTCGGCACAAAGGGTTTCGTTCTTCTTGGCCCTAACTTTGGTGATGCCTCTCTCCAATCTGCCCTCCAGACTTTTGAGGTCCTTCAACGACAATGAGCTCAGTGCTTCTCCAACAATATGCCTGCATTATTATTAATTCATTCATTCGTTCATTCATTATCCATAAACATAATTAATTAACTTCAATTAACCACTTAACCAACCTGTTTGAATTCTGAATTTCCCGTATCTGTCTCTTCAGCTTCGACGCCTCTTGCTGGTAAAACTGCACTTGGTTTTTACATACCATTCAACTCACCAATTCAATCTCACCAAATCGGTCTTTTTTTTAACTCTTTATTTACCCTCTCAAGATTTTAATATATTATTTTCTTATTCTATTTTCAGTTCGGGTTCATTTTGGTATATGATTGTAGTTCAGTTTAGTCTTTATACTTCTAAAATATTTGTTTTGGTTCATACACTGAATTGTCATTTTTCTATCACAATTTCAACACGACGTTATACTCTTGAAATGTAAGTACAGTAATCAGGTCAGAGATAGGTGTCTTAACCACTTGAGCTCAGGTCAGAGGTAGGTACCTTAACCACTTGAGCTCGATTTGAATATTAAGGGAATTGAAATTAGATCAAATTAGTATTTTAATCTAAATTTGAATCTATATTTAGGCTTTATAAGAAAAATGAAAACTAGTTAATTATTTTTTACCTGTACATTAGCTTCTTCAACTGATAATCCGGAATTGGAAGAGTCAGCAAATGCTTTCTTGTACCTTTCGATCGTTCCTCTCACACTGCCAAAATTTTCCCTCTCATTTTAGACAACAGCCAATCACAATATTACATTTATAACTCTTCAATACCCACAAAAAATAATAATAATAAATTAAAAAAAAAGGGTAAAATACCATCATCTCATTAAAAATCTAGATCTTAAAAATGTGTAATCTAGATTTATAGAGGTATATATTGTTTTTTATCCCGCTTGAATTATATAATTTTTCTTTTTCAAGATAAGAAAACATTTTATCATACAAAAGACAAGACTTAATAAAGTACTAAAAGCCTTCATGTTCATCACTAAAATTGCTTAAAATTGTAAGATATGCACGATTCATATTCATCAAAAACGAATAGTAACATATATTTTTAACCTAATTCAAAGAAATTTTTAAAAATTGTTCTTTCACATTATCTTGTTATCTTCGCAAATATTTTTCACAATAAAAGCATAACTGGACTTATTAAAGCCTATTTTATCAACCAAAAGGTCGGAGATTTCCATCCCCAATCTCCACTCTCCATAATTTTGTTGAACTAAAAAAAAATGGTATTTTACATTATTTTTAGATGACACACTCAATTAAATAACACACATATATATATTTTTTAAAGATGGATCTCTATGCTGACCATCCTTGAATATTTAACAACTCATTGTTTCTTAAAAGAAAAATTATTTTTATTCATTCTCTTACTTGTCCAATATTCAATAGTGGTCACACAATAATGAGGACCTAAGTAATTTCCTTTTTTCTTTTTTTAATTTACTAAACTGAACTAGAGAAAAGATAAGGCAGAAAAAGAAATTTAAACTTTTTTTTTCTATTTTAAGTTAAACCAAGAGTTGAATTAGAACTTGCAAACAAACTATAGAAAATAAATTTGAGTAGAAGAAACAAAAAGGAGGAGAATAAAACTCACAAACAAAGGATATAGGAAGGAAGAAAGTAGAAGATCACAAGGGAATTTATCCATGAAAAGGGGGTGGGGCTGATACCTTAATTTCGTCGATGTGGGATTGGAGAGTCAGAAGAGAACTCAGAAGATGACAAGGAATTTATCCATTAATGCAAAATCTCACAACCCAAATACCTAATCCCACATTCCTTTATCCACAGGACAATACCCATTTTTTACACCCACAAAAAAACAAAAAAAAAAAAAAGAAGGTCTTCCCTAACCTAAACCCTAATTCCAACCTCATATAATAATCATTCAAATTTTGGCTGTTTTTTCAACTCTCAATCCAAATCCAGATGCAATACCCTCTTTTTTGTGTAAACCACAACACTTGCATAGAAATGGAAACGATTCTTTTTACTGTGCTAAATTCAAATCATTTCAATTGGCCTTTTCAAATTTTTACTAAAAAAAAATGTCAAAAACAAAAGCCAGAAAGAAATGTTTATGAGAAATATTGGTGGCACACAATCTTTTGTTGTCCGATATGATTAATGAAATATCACGTCAAGACTTGACTGAAGCTAATTCCTAAAGACACAGAAAGAAAAACAAAAAAAGAGAGAGAAATTAAAGGTATGAATTAAGAGTTATTGGCCACCATCTCCTCATGAAGCTAACTCCTTTTTCTATTTCTATGCTACAAATTAAAGTTGCAGGTTCTGCAAAATAAATAAATAATAAAAATAAATTGTACTAAAATTGTTCATTAAATTATTATTGTACAAACCAAACCACAACTTCCCATCATTCCCCTACTTCTCACCATCTTTTTCAATTCACTATAATTCTTCTATTATTAAGTATTGATCCCTGAAATGGACCAAAATTGTAATTCTGATTCTTTTTTATTATAACCAAAAACGATTTAATAAAAATAAATAATATCACTAATTATGGATTTGGTGTAGAAACCCAGATGGAGAAATAATAATTGAGTCAACATTTTCCTAAATTGAAGATAATTCTTTGGAAGAGAAAGGAAACTAGGAACAGGATTATTTGGAGAACTAGCAGGAATTTTTCCTATTTAGTATTTCATCGTGTGGACAAAAGAAAAAAAAAGTAAGTTTATGATTTATAAATTATTGTTCTAAAAATGTGTTATAAAAAATAAGCATAGCTTTATTTGTTAAGACCGGCTGGGTTCGTATCGACCTGTACTATTAATGGTTCGTGAAGATTTGATGAAAATAAACTAATTATTGACCTATTTGATACACATTTTGTATCCTCATTTTTCAAAATATAATTATTTTTAGGGAGAATGTAAATTAATATGTTTTCCATTTTTTTTTTCAATATGGAGCCAAATTTTGAAAAATAGAAATATAATTTCCAAATCTACTTTGCCCTTTAATTTAGTCTTTGAGTAGTGTTTTTTTTTTTCAAATAGAAAATATAAAAAAGAAAATTTATATTTAACAATCTAATCTTTAAAATTGAAATTAAAGAAAAGGGAAAATGATAATCAATGAAGAGAGAGCTATCCAATTAATTAACTGCAAGCTATATATATTAAGCCAATTTCCTTGAAATTTTTCACTTTCTAAATGTCTTTAAAAATGTGAGATCTCTCTCCAAAACAAGAAATCAAACATAGAAAACACAATCAAACACAATACTCTAATTTCTAAAATTAAGAAAACAAAAAACAAAAATATAATGAGTTTGGCCTAAAACAATTTCATTAGAAACTCTTTTCCACATTTCTACTAGATTATACATTACTAAAAATGTCTACCTAATATACCGCCAACACTAAATAAAATATAACTATTTTACCTTTATTTATCTGCAAAACTTGTAAAAACTACTTTTCTCCTTTTTTTTTTTCCATCAACTTTTAAAAAATATTTTCAAAATCTAAGTAAAAGTTACTTTTCATAAACTTATTTTTATTTTTGAAATTGAACTAAGAATTCAAATACCTTTCAAGGTTAAAAATTACCAAAGAAATTGCAACGAAACAAGCCTAATTTTCAAAAACAGAAAACTAAAAATAGAATCATTAATTAACAGTCCCGATAATAAAATTCCAAACCCAAAACCAAAACCAACACCCAAAAAACAAAATCAAAATCAAACCCCTATGTTTAATCAATTCAAAAAAGACCAAAAATAGAGGCAAAAGTTCAAAACCAAACATAGAACTCAAGTTGAGTAGAAACATTAAAGCTATGGAGTCAAAAAATGGAAAGAATCAGAGCGATGACACCATCTCATCTGTGACAGACACACAGCTCAGCTCAGCTCAGCTAGTTCATGCTGACCAACTTAAATTGATGGATCACATTTGGGTATTCAAACAAACAAAAATTTTAACATCTCAAAAATTCAAACAAATTCAACCCAACAAACAACAACAACAACCCATATTTTTAACACCAAATCTTTCAAAGAAAATGGAGGAAAAAAAAAAGAATGAAAAACCCTAATGACTCCATAGATCTATAAGATGGAAGAAAAAGGAGAAAGAGAGATGACCTATTATTGGCATATTCGTAGAGACGACCGCGAGTGGAGAAGACGATGAGGGCAACTTCCGCGTCGCACAAAACAGACAATTCATAAGCTTTCTTAAGCAACCCATTTCGTCTCTTACAGAAAGTCACTTGCCGATTTGTAGTGTTTTCAATTCTCTTAATCTCAATCTTACCTCTTCCCATTTTCCTCTGGGAAGAGGCAGATCCTTCCCCCACTTGAAGATTTGGGAACTCCGTGGCTGAAACCCTATAAATCAAAACCCAGCAATCAAAATTAATTAACCAAAATTCAACTCATGGGTTTCCCTTTGATTCTCTAGATCTGCAACACAACCATGTAAAGATTCAATCTTTCGCAAACAAAAAGTAAACCCACCAACCTGGAGGAGATCAGGAGGAGGAGGAAGATGAAGTAATTAAATTTGAGAGCAAGAAAGCTTGGGAGAGGAAAAAGAATTATTGTTATTAATATTACTGTTGTTGTTTTTGAGTGAAGATATAGATAGAGAGAAATGAAGGGGGGTGTGGAGTTGGAGTTAGGTTTAGGGAAGATCAGTATTTAAAGCTGAAAGTGGGATGAAAAGGGGGTTTGAGATTACTATTGTCTTAAGAAATTAGAAGCTAATTAAAATGATCAAATGGGGGTATTAGGGTTCACTTTCACACTCATTTTGTATTGGAAAAAAGTTAGCAAAAGGGTTACCTTTAAAATG